CGTTGAGTGGGGAACTGTTTCTCCGTGCCTTAACGCCTTAAGAACAATCTCTCGCGCAGGGATGCAAAGATGAGATCGTAGATTGGATAGAGAACAATATCCTGGTCCTCATCGGCGTCGCCTTCGCAGTCGCCGGCCTCGAGGTAAGTGCGCGCGTGCGAGGCGATCGCTATCGCCTTCTACAGGGTAGCGAAAATAATCTTGAAAATCCCTCTTAACCTCGTAATAATTAAGTTCAAAGTAGTGATTAGTCCAAGTGATTAGTCCTAAGTAATTAGTTCAAAGTGATTAGTCCAAATTAGCGCCAAGTTCAAGAGACTATACCGAAGACGAAGAGAGACAATGATGATTAAAATCAATAGATCAACACTGCGGATTGCTGTAGGAAGGGTTTCAATTTCGCAATTAACCAAATCACAGATTATTAAAGACGCGGTCTCCTGTTTTACACTCACGAGTCGTTGTTTTGCATTATCTACTGAGATGTGTTTCTGGGTATTTTCGGAGAAAAGGGACTAGCAATAGATCTAACTATCCGGCACAGCTAATGTGTTACTGCGCTCTCAATGATTTTACCCATGTGTAGTACTTACTCCATTCTTGCTGGTCGAAATGCTGGACAAGATTATGTCAAATGTTTACTGGTCCTAGAAGCTTTGCTTACCGAAAACCACTTGTTTACATATACGTCCGTGCGTTTGTGTCCGTGCGTAGATATAGAATGCAATACAACTTTGTTTATCTCAACACTATTCAACAGTGTTCTATATCTCTCTACCTTGTGTGCGTGACTTGTGGGTACTGAGGCGGAGCTAGTGGACGGTAGATGGCGCTGTATCACCATCAGATTAATATAGCGAAGTCGCGTGTGAATGAAACTCAATAGCCTCCTGTCATCGCTTTTCTTTCATTCTCTCCAGATATTTGGCATGATCTTCGCCATCTGTCTGTGTCAGAACACGGATAAAGACAACGAAGTCGTCTAGATGGCGCCACCATGCCAGTTGATCTATGGGTCTTCTGTGAATTGATTAAGTTTCTTAATTGAAATGATTAGATTTCAGCTACGGACGTGGTTTTCGAGCAGGGGCCATATAGATGATGATTTATATGGATGCACATTGATTTATCTTACAAAGCAGGATTAAAAAGTTATATCAGATACTGTACAAAAATCAATTTCAGATGTTCTTGCAGTATGCTCCCACGCGGTAGATTTTCAATAAGCGTTCATGTTTATTAAGGTTTCATATATATATATATATATATATATATATATATATATATATATATATAGTGTTTCATATATAATATATATATATGGTTTCATAGTATATATATATATATATATATATATATATATATATATATATATACGAGAAGGTTAACAAGTACGTGTACGCGTATATGTGCGAGTACGTATTTATGATGTATCTGTAGTGGCTTAGCGATACTGAGAAACCCTTCATCATAGCTAGTAGTCGTATGTATGTATTGACGAATGAACTGATGTATAAATAGAATATCATTGACTAGGATTATATCCACATATAGGTCAGTTTGTAAATTATCACGTTTGCGTGTATGTATAATTAACTAGGTTACGTATACGATGTTAATTTTGAATTTGAGAAACCGAAATTGAAATAATAACGTAGCAAATGAGTTTCAAGCATAGAAACCAAGATTTCTCTACACATCAAATTTATTTCTGCATAGGTAGATATAAAGTTACGGTCGTTTTCCTTTTTTCCGGATAAGGTAAGATACCGGAGGCGTGCAAAGCAGACGTGAAAACCCGGTAATAGTTTAGTAGTTTTGATTTTGTACATAATGGATGTTGAGTACTGAGTAACCCCTATACAAATTTAATGTCGAGGGAACGATATTGCACTCTGAAAATACTGTACTTTAATAATGGAACTGTCGAATTATTTGGTGTTTAAGTATGATAACCGAAGCTTTAAGTTTAAATCAACATGGCGAAAGTGGGTAGCAAATAGCAGNATTTGGTCCTAATTGTCGGCTCTATATTGAAATATGAGTGATGTGTAAAGAGAAAGATTATAGACAAGGCTTACTGATAGAAGCGTTTGATGTTATTGTTGTATATATGTATTGTGCGCTGGGTGATAATTTTACACATTATCCAGCGCATTCACCTGCGTTATTTTGGCTACGAGACCCAGCGCCCAGAGCAAAAGAATAATAAAATAGCGCATAAAGGTCGTGACTAGGCTAAGAATACGTATTCAACAAAATACTTTATGACCAGTGTTGTGTAGAGCCAATTTACATGAGAAATACTAGAGATAAGTTGGAGCAAAGGATCCGCAATCACACCTCGCAAATCACACGTTTTTACATTAACAAAAATAACTTTTCTAAGCAGCGAAAGTGAATTTGCTCCGGGAAAATAACACCGACCTGACGCCAGTCAACGAGCTATGCAACACTATCTGCAGCATTGGCAATCCGATATCAGATATCAGCGGGATCAGTAGAGCCAGCTAAGCTGGGCAAGTGGTAGGCTATGTGGAAGAAACCCGCATCCGCGAGCCCAGCCATGATCATGAATTCAGCTGTGGACCTGACAGCCATCGGGAAATTCCATCTCAAATCAGGCTAAGACAAGCAGATTCATCAATCTAGATTACTGGAAGCTATCGTGCTATGGAACTACTAGACATGTCTGGCTGAACATCTATATTCAATCCAGTCCAGTCATCCTTGCATCCCCCGCATTGGCTATCAAACCAACAAAAAGTAACAGAAATTAAATCACCAATTAAAATTAAACAGATGCCTCGTAACCATATCGCGTACCGACAACGCATAAAACCCCCCAAAATTATCGATATTTAACATATTCTCATATCTATAAATCTGATATCTACATATTCATATAACAAATATTCGTGATTTCAGCATTATGTTTTGAGAATTATTCATAAAATTGGGGAATTTATCTAACGTGGAACCGATAACCATACCTGCAACGCATAAACCACCGTAGCTCACAATCAACACTTATGGTTTACATCCTTGCAGTTTTGACAACTGTTCGAAAAAGAAAATCAATAAATCTTAAGATTACATCGACCTGAACAATATTCAATCACACGAGCATAAGCTTGATCTATAGATATGAATGCGATAGGTAGGCTCGAAAAACGATATATCAATAAATTAGTGTATGACATAAGTTCGGGCCTAAGAAGCGTATGGACAAGCATCTAATTGCTCATTAACTTACGAGCGGATGGCGATGGAAGAAGCCAGCAGCTACGGGCAGCGACCTCAGCTTAGCAACGGCAAGACTCGGCATCTTCAGCGCGTGCCTCAGCCTCCTCTCAGCTTCATACCTGCGCCTTGCGGTACTATGGCCAGGTTAGCATGTTGGCCAACCCTGACGCCTCGTCGATTCTAGGCGCTTGTAAGCTTGATCTTTCTCGTATGAGTGCTCTCCAGCTGTCGGCTGCATCGTGTGCTTGATTTTTTCCATCATGCGAAATCTGCAGGGCAGGCTTTTATTTCTATTCGTTGTCTGGTCGGCCTTTGTGTCTTTATTTTTTTTTTTTGTTCTTCTAGTCTTTTGATGGCGTGTTCTTTTTTGTGTTCAGGTTTCATCCAGCCTCTGCCTCTCTGAAAGCTCAACGGAGCGATATGCTTCCAGCCTTGGCAATCATTCTTCTGCCCCTCAGCACGTTGGCATTACCCATCCATGTTATCGTTTTTTCTTAATTTTTGACCTGTCAGATTTCCTTTCAGCTGGCTTCCAACGACTTGCGTGGCCATTTTTCAGCGTGGGTGGCGTGTTCTCATTGCATTCCTGTTGTTTCGCAGCTTCCTTCTCATATTTCTGGTGCTGCTCATCTGTTAGTCAATCGGCTACCTTCTATTTTTGCATTCTCATTTCGTGCATTTTTGCCTTGATGCGCTCTATTTGATTCGGTCCTCTATCAATTGATCTTGGTTTTTCCTGCTATGGTTCGTCTTTTTCATGTTCACTTTTCTCTATGCTTTTCTCTTGCGTGTAGTTCGCAGTTTTAATTCTGTGTACCTATTGTGCAGCTCTTGGAGTATCTCTCCTAAGTTGATCTTCTGTAGTTTCCTTCTTTTCGTTCAAATTCTCGGCTT